TGTGTACAACCGGCCCCGAAAGTTGTATTTCTCGGACTGTTTTAATCATATTTTATTTTATCGGACCAAATAAAATATATCACGCGTTCCCAATAATTATGGGCCTTTAGAATGGATGTACATTCCCCAACATTAATTTAGGAGTCTCCGAAATTCATTTCAGGCTGTTATCCGATAAATCGCCAATACCGGTAATTGGGCCTCGTTTGACCAACCGGTCAACTCCATGCTTTTCTTATGGCCCAAATAAAATATCCACCTCCACATAGATGTCATCTATACCAAGATGAATATAATATGTGGTTCGGGAATTATCGGGCGGCCCCCCGGTCCGAGCGTGGGCCCCACATGCAATTTACTATTCACGTAAAAGAAATAATAAAAATTTACAATTACGCAAATTCATAAATCATCCTTCAAGGTTTATTACATAATTTACTAAAAGTAAATATGTTTGGGGACGGTGCTACAAGTCATCTTCCCCGGAGCTGGCGGAAAGAACCAGGCCCACTCATTCGAACCACCAAGCTCCTCCTCCTGGCGGATGGCCTCTGGGGGAAGAAGGGCTATCGCTTCCACGGGTTTCTTCATGCGCCCCGGAAGGCCCAGTGTGGATGGGTGAAAGTCAGGGTCGAGATCCTGCAACCGGCCATACACCTTCTGCTGCATCAAATACTTGCCACTCTGAAAAGCATAGAGGACTTCGTGAGCACGCCAATACTCTCTGTCGGGGGTCGTCAGCCACCTCTGCACTAGTTCAGACTGTTCCGCTCTCACCCTCGCAGAGATGATCTTCTGGAACTGCTCGGAGGCCTGGAACTCGGAGAGCGCTTTCTTGGCTCCTTGTTTGGCCGCTTCTTCACATTCTTGTGCACGCGAGGACTGCACCTCGGAGAAGGTTTTCTGGCTGGCCCACAGGGCAGCCCTAGCTTCGTCAGCCTCACGCTGAAGCCTGGCCTGAGAATGATTGGCCGCATGGAGTGCCCTGATGGTCTTGGCGAGCCCCTACAGAATAGACAAACGAAAATGTGAGGGGGTTCAGGGATAAACACAATCCACGTCAAGACGTGATCAACCTACCTCAATATGTGACCCGATAGAACCCTCCAAGAGGGGATGAAACTCTTGGGAAGTCGTACAGGCGAGGTCGCCTGGTGGGAGGATTGATGAAGCATAATCCACGACCGGGAAGCCTTCATGCATAATCGAGGCACTCGAAGATGGGAAGGCGTAAGTAACTGTATGTTGGGTGTCATGGCTGATCCGTTCGGCCATCCTCTCATCTGCACCCTCATGTACCTGCTCAGCGGAAAGAAACTTGGGGGCGACCTTAGCCTTCTTAGAGACTTGTTCCCCTCGGTCTGGGGAGAAGGCTCCGCGCTCTTTCCCCGCAACAGTCTTAGGGGCCACATGAGCAACGGCTGGGCAGGGCTCCTCCTCCTCATCGGACCCGTCCAATTCGACTAGCAGGTCGATGAGTCCGCCCTTGTGCTTCTCCTGCATTGGAGTAGTTGGTCGAGGCCCGAAGGTAACTCTCACCCTTCTTGGAGGGGGGGCTCTGTGCCCTTTCCCCTTCGCAGCCGTTGCTGCCGCAGGAACAATGACTTGTTGAGGCTCCTCTTCTTCATCGGATTCCGCCTCAACAACGAGCTTCTCAGGCACAGCTGCGGAAGAAAAATGTGAGGATAAGCAGAATAAAATACAAAGTAGCAAACATAGACCAGGGAGGTGACAATCACCTAAATATGAGCTGATGGAGTGGGGACCGCCTGCGGACAATATCTCGATGGAGGACTTGAGACCAGGGGAGAGAGCGACCCAGTCACACTTCTGAACCCGTTCACCCCACGGAGGCAGAGGTGACAGGAGGTTGGGGTCGGATACCCATATTCATCTCTTCTTCCACCCCTTCCCTGAATGGGGGTAACCCGACCGAAACAGTTTGCTCACCGGCCTCTGGGAGAGTAAGGCGAAAAAGCTAGAAGCACGCCACTGGAAGCAGCTGAAAAACAGATCAATCGTGGGTGTGAGGCCCACATCCTCACACCGCGCCACAAAAGCTGCAACGAACATGTGAGCCGCCGGAGCCAATTGACCCGGTGCCACACCCATGAAGTGAAGGAACCGAACCAGGAAGGGGTGCAGTGGCACGGCCATCCCTAACTCCAGAGAGCGGATATGGACCCCGAAGTAGGGAGTTGGTGGATTGCTCAATATGACAGTAGCCACCGGAGATTCCAACAAACAATCATTTCCAATCAAACTGTATGCAACGGCAAGGTCCTCATCTTGAATACGAGGGGGGGGGGGGTCGCTATCCCGCTATTATCAAGGCCCCACCAAAGATTCGGGTCCTCCCGAGCACCAGAGTCATCGTCAGAATCTGACATGACCACATGTTGTGCCCGTGCTCTATCTGGAACGCTCAGTTACCGACCCTCAGCAGTAGTGGTCCACCTAGATGGAGCCATCTCTGGGAGAACGTCAAACGTGCAAAGACAAAACAAGAGAGAAATAACAAAACGTCAAACTGCAGGCTAACATGGAGGGCGTCATCAAAGGGAGCACCCGACTTGGCCGCCTAGTGGGTAGTTGCCGGCTTCCTGAGCTACACCTGCCGGCAGAGGGGCGGCCGCCAGCCCCTAACCCAAACTGTCTGGCCAAGGTGAAGCCGAGCACCGGAAGAACTGCTCACGTGAGGCACCATACAACGGCCTGCAACAAACTGCTTTCAAACTCGTGGGTAAAGTTGGGCGCTTACCCCAACTCCAACCTTCTACTCTATCAAAACCAGGGGATCGATGCCCAGTCTAGGTACGCATGGAAATTAAAGACAGAAGAAACATGCAGCGGCGGCTCGTCGGACTATGCGGAACTCCGGGGAGTAGAGACTCCAGCCGGGGCATCCAATCCAGGACTCCGACCTTGGACCCGCCACCGCCGGGTGGCTGCCGGGCTAGAAAGGAAAGAAAAGAAAAGGAAAGAAAAAAGAAGGAAAGAAAAAAGAAGGAAAGAAAAGAAAAGGAAAGAAAAAGGAAGGAAAGAAAAGAAAAGGAAAGAAAAGAAAAGGAAGGAAAAATAAAATAAAGTCCGAAAATAATTTATGAAATAATAATAATGAATTTCAGGTATTTTTTGAAGCTGACCTGGATCCTGAAGTCTGGGAGAAAGCTTGATGCTGGAATGCTAGAACGTTAAGGGAATTAATTCGGAGCCTTTTAAAGCTGGGCGCCTTATTCAAAATTTGGAAATCTCCATAAATTGTGGGATTGACAGAATCCACAATTATGGCTCCATAAATTAGCAGTTGACTTGAACTACTCCCTCTTAGCCGAGTCTACTACTCGACTAAGGGAGTGGAGGCTCGTGATGGGGTTATGGGATTAGGCCCAGAGCCTAATCGGCCCAGGCCCCGAACTTGGACCAGCAGCCCCAAGCCCAGCAACCCAGAGCTCGAGTCGGCCCAATCGATCAGGCCAATCAAGGAGCGGAAGCCCAAGAGAGCCTGTCGACTAGCCCAGCGGGGAGCCTGCCCTCCAGCCCGGCCAACGGGGAGCCTGCCTTCCAGCCCAGCGGAGAGCCTGCCTACCGGCCCAACCGGAAGCCCAAGAGAGCCTGCCTTCTAGCCCAGTGGGGAGCCTGCCGACCAACCTAGCTGGGAGCCTGCGGTCCAGCCCAGGTGGGAGCCTGCCTTCCAGCCCAGCCAGCAGCCTGCCTCCAGCCCAACGGGGAGCCTGCCTTCCAGCCTATCCGGGAGCCTGTCTCCAGCCCGGTCAGAAGCCTTCCTCCAGCCTAGCGGGGAGCCCACCGTCCAGTCCAGCAGGAGGGAGCTCAAACGTCCTGCCTGCCAGCCAGGCTGACCTGCCATCCAGGAACTATAACGGCCAAAGTAATTAATGTGTGACTTAATTATGTATTTAATTCCGTATTAATGTTGTAATTAGTTAGCCATTAGTATCTTTGGCAGTTACCATTTATAATCGCCTATAAAAGGCAAGTTCGAGTCAAATAATAGATATGCTATTTCTGGCAACCAAATCCCCTTTGCAACTTTCCTTATTCATATTACTTTCTTGATTCCCGCTTGAGTGTCGTACGTAGTTTTCCTAAAGCCTACGAGCGTCCTATTTTGGACCAACAATAGTAATAGTAATAATAATAGTAACACCAATAACAACAACAACAATAACAATAATAACAACAAGAACAAGGATGATGATGATGATGACAAGAATAATAAAACCAAAAGAATAACAAATCATATACACATCAACTTTTAAAAAAACCTTTTCTCATTTCTTAACAAAGTATTAGTAAACACAAACGTTTTTTCAATATAAAAAATGTTATTTAAATAAGTCATAACCTCCATTAATATTTACCATTTTAAATCACATTAACATGACAATACCGGGGAATGCCCCGGGTGTTACACTAGTTTATAATCCAAATCCTATACGTTTTAAATAAATGAGATGGGGTTTGTAAAATTTTACTTAGGGGTTACTTAAATTTGAAATATTGGAACATCTCACATTATGAGCTTTGGGACATATCTAACATTTTTTGAACTTGAGTTATCCACTCAACACTATTGCCTCACATGGTCCTGAATTCAAAACCATACAAAAGGAATGTCATGATATGATCAAGTGTATGTTGGGTTTAGACATGTAACTCACATTTCTAATCAGTATAGTTAATGTGACTTAAATGGGCAATTTTTTTATATAATGCATCTGAAAAACAAAGAAAGTGACTTAAGCGTTTTATCAAACATTACATATGCAGAATTAGAGAGTACTTATTCAAAATTGTTTCTTCACAAAATGTTTATAATGAGGTACAAAGTCAAAGTTTTTTTAATGGAAGCAAAATCCAATATCATCCAAAAAGAAAGTTGCAAAATTAAATTCCTGTTATCTCCATATAAAAGCATTGAATACAGCGTGATAATTCAGTCATAATAAATATTAATCCATGTCCTATTCTCAATATACCATAATTTGTGTCATTAAATATAATGAATATTAGAAAACAGTATCATTAAGTATAGTTAATGTGACTTAACTCCGGAATGTCTTCTATAATGCAATTCAAAAAATTAAAGAAAGATGATGTACATATGCAGAATTAGAGAGCACTTCAATGGAGTACTTCATTGTCAAAACAAAAAATAGAGTATTTGATTATCAATGAACTCATATCATAGGAAAAAAACATATCTAGTATATAAATCATATAATTATAAAAAAAACAAGAACTTTTACTAATATTGGAATATTTTTATTATTTTTCGTTCACAATAATCACCTCTCATCACCACTCCAACTATCCTTCACCTTGGGGCCAGTCGGGCCTTCTTCTCCGAACACTTCATCAGGAAACAGATCTACCAGATTCTCAAACGCCGATTTCAAGCCCCCTTTCAACTCCTCTTCCAACGCCTCCGCTTCATCCCCAATCTTATACGTCACCGTCGGGCCCCACTTCCTAGCATAGTTCAGCCACGGCGGCTCAGCAACCGCCGGCGCCACACCCTCGGCCGCCACCACCGCGTACTTCCGGCCACAGTCCCAAACCAAGTCACTCTTGGCAGTGTCATTCCTCAACCCGATCTCATCCCCCAGCCCTTGCAAAACCGTCCCCGGCTTCGAATAGTTCGCGTGGCCGTTCTCCGACGAATACGCCGCCGGCTTGTTGCCGCCGGCAAGAAACTCAAGATTCGGGGCGTCCACCCACGACCCACCACTGTGAGCGGAGAAGTACATCCTTTGCAAGACTCCATTGAAGTTACTGATCCTCAGAGTCAGATGCTCCCAATCTCCGACGTGCTCTCCGGTCCGGGTCAACGGGATGTTGACCAGCCCGAGCTTGACGGTGGCCGGACCGTTGAAAGGGTAGAACAGCCATATCACAATGTCGGTGAATGTTCCGCCCAACATGGGTTTTACGTGGAGATAAACCTCGGAACTCTTTAGATCTCCTTTCTTGACGGCGTCTCTGGCGGGTTCATCGGCGGGGAGGTCCAGCCAGTATGCGCCGTCGTCTGATCCGCCTCGGGGAAGATTTGCGCCGTTTGGGTCAACGGCAACGGGGTTTGACTCGTCGCCTTTCTTGTACAACAAAGCGCCGTTTGTGAAGTACCAGTTGACCGAAGATGGGAGGTAAGTTTCTTTAGGGTGGAGGTAAACAATGGGTGAGTATTCTTGGAAGAGTGTTTCGATTTGGGTAAGGTTAGGAATGGAAGAATATTTTGTAAAATTGTTGTTCTTGAGACAAGCTAGAGATGTGTTGCTATTGGTTGCAAATGTGCCCACACTAACTCCTTGAGCTTGTGTACCTGTACAACAAATTCAAAGGAAATTTTTCACATCCATGATTTTCGTAAAAGTGACATTGTAATTGGTCCTCCAATTATTATCATAGTGACATTTTTAGTCCTTCATTTACTGTGCCAAAATCACAATGAAAGGATTAAAAGTGTCAATTTGACAATACATAAAGGACTAATTGTGAGAAATTATTATCTCGATGACTAAAATCATAATAGTCGTAGGACAAAAATGAAAAAATTAAAAATCAAGTACCAGGTCAGAAGTGTCACCACACAATAGTCAGACGATTAAAAGTGGCAAAATTTTAGTAGTTCTACGATGTATGCAATGCCAACTCATGATATTTTAAAATTGATCATATCAAGCCAATTCAGCCCAGATCAGATTACACCATATAATTGTAAAATACACATACAACAAACATCTATCATGCTAGAGTTGTTCCAACAAGAAAAATAGAGATTAATAAAAAAACGTCCTCAAAGTGTGTTGAATTGAATTGAATTGGATTGTAGTAAGTTAAAAAAAGAATTGTATTGTACGGAGTAGTACATAGATCTTCATCCATTTACCCCGTATTATTTAACTTAAAGTATTGTAAAGATGATGGAACTCTTGTATGAATATTGTTATTGTCGTGAAATTTAGTTATTTTTTTTTTCAAAAAATAAAACAAATGGAGCTAAAAAATTATGATGGAAGTGATTTACTTTAAAAGAATACTCCGTATATAGTAAGTCCGATTTAAAATATTTAAATGAGTTTTTCTTGATATATCCCATTTTGGAATAATTCATGTGTCATTAAAATTAATTGTCTCAAATGAGTATTTTTCTAATTAAATACAACGTATTAAATATGGAAGGGTCGTTTTGTTACTGCACCTCTATTGCGGGGTCTCAAACGGTAAAGATTAAAACCATTTGGATCGCTAGACTTCCCAGGTGACCAAACCAGATCTTCAACTTCACATTCCTCCGTCATATCTGCCCGGACGCACATTACCCGGCCGGCCGGTGGCTTCTCCGGTGACGTGGTGACAAGGTGTCCAACTGCCTTGTAACCCTCCGGGGGAACTGGCAGCCAAACATAGACAGGACTACTTTGTTGGATCTTCAACTGCTCACTGCTCCAAACAAGAGTGTAATCGCTTGGCTCTTTGAGGATATCGCCGGAGTTGTCCCGGCCGGCAAGAACCCAACCAAACAGCTGCCGGTTGTTCGGTTGGGCGTAGTAACCTAGGACGGAGTACCCGGTGGGTATGACCGAGGGCTCGAAGATTGTTGCTCCGAGGTTGTCCGGCCCTCCTTCATGCGTTGACCAGACCTGCCTGAAAGTTGAAATTTGGCAGACTTGGAGCCCCCCAAGATCAATATATCCACTCCCAAATTCTGAGCCATCTTCACCTCAGAACAAAAGAAGTAAATTCAAACAAGTTTATACAATGTGAATTCTAAAATGATTGGTACAAAATTATATTTTCACTAAAAATTTAAAAGCTAAGATCTAAACATCGTTAAAATAAGGGTGTTTCGAATTGAGTCTGTTCCTGCTTCTTTTTTAAAAGAAGAAGTAGAATCAACATTAGTTTTCCAGAAGTTAGTCTCTAATAGCTTCTAAAAAATTGTTTCTGAGTGCATTTTGGAGCACCCGAAAGTACTTATGCACTTTCACCCAAACACCGCAATATCTGCTTTTGTTCTTTGAAGGAACAGAAGAAGTTTTAAAAAGCAGATCCACACACTCCATAAATTGTTTCAAAATTTGTAACTAACAATCTAACATAAACAGATACACAATTTCATTACAATGTTTTGCATGTAAGTTATGGTGGGAAAGTGTTTACATTACAAACATTTATTGGTTACAGGACCAGACTTGCAACCTAGTTATAAATTTACTAGTCGATCTAATAACTTGCACAACCGATAATTACGAGACTAAAATTGCAATTCTCCTTTCCTCATCGTATTTATATTCTTTCAAGATTAGAACCTTCAAATGCAGGTTAGTTCCCGCATGAGCTCGGGTTATCGGATTATCGCATATTAGCATCAGAACCATCTAAACTTGAAAGAGTGGATGCTATCGCCCACATTCTTACAGAAAAAAAGCAAGTAATTAAGGTAAGAATATGAATGAACCTGATGAAGATGGCCATGCAGGCAACGGAGAAGGAAGCTTGAAAGCAGAATCAATGGGGAGTAGTGTTTGTTGGGGTTCTCTACTTGAATGAGCACTAAAGCAATTCCCCATACCATTAATTAATGGAGACCTTGAAGAAATGCTAAAAAAAATGTTTCAAGCTTCAAGGTAAGGGTGTCGGCAGATTAATATATCAAGCTGCCAGCTACTTCACGTACACGTTTATATTGTGTTCTTAAATCATCATTCTTGCGTACAGGAAAATGGGAAGATCGTTTGAATTTGCAGCTAGTCATTCTTGGATATAAGTTTGGATAATTGCCTAGTTGGATCCCCACCTTATAATTAATATGGTAGGTCAATGGATGAGCAACCAATTCAATTATTACTCGTACAATGAATTTGGTTTTAAGATGTTTTTCCTAGGATCAATTTCGATATCAGACTAGACCAGATCAAACCAGATAAAAGCAAAAAAAGTAGACTAGTACTCAGACAGTTGTCAAATACGGAGTACACATTAAGCAGACATTTACCCGACCAAATCAGTTCATATCTGGATAAAATAAACCGGATTAGATCAGAAGATTTCGGACCAACTAAAAATATTTTTATTTGTGTTTTGTTCTCATCCAAGTGAATTCGGTTTAATTAATTTGATACGATGTGGTGGCCTTTCAAAAAGTAAATGTTATAAAGTCGTACTCACTATACTTGATATAGGTAAATGTGCATGCATGTAATCCTAGTAGAGGTAAACGTATTCTTTTTTGTCCTTTAATTATATGAGATTGTCATCACTACTTTCATGAAACTTTTGTTTTCCACTTAAATAGTGGCGGACCTAGGGGGCTGAGGGGCACGTGCCCCGCTTCTGGTCCGGAAATTCACTAGTAGCACACTAGCACTTAAAGTAAAAATCAGTGCCCCTTCTTCGGGTCTGGAGTTTTTATTATATACCAAGTTTAGTATCTAGTTTTTCCTCGCTCTCACAAATCTATGGGTCTGTCATTGCACTTAAATTCAGACTTGCTTCTTTGATTTTTGAATTGCACCATACATGTGAGTATGGTTTAGAAAAGCTATGATGGTTATGTACCACAAAAAATGTGTAATGGTCAATTATGAATAATTTCCATTTATAGTTTGACTTAGCTTCATATCATTTTCACCAGCTACGTGTAATTTGAGTTGTATGGTGTTCGAATTGTTACATACATTCCTTCTTCCTTGAATAAGCTTCCACAAGCAAATTTCTCTACGGAAACATATTTGAAAATATGAGTAAAAATATTTAAAATGTGATGAATACGTACAATATTGTCTTTAACGAAATAAAAGTAAAGGTAATATCATCCTGAAATAATACTGACATAGTTTGTCATTATGGGACATTGATATGACTAATAATGACATAATTATTGGTGATATTTTCAAACTTGACTACATGACAATATTTTTTTTTTATTTGAGGGAGATATAACTCTTATTTTGAAATATGACATTAATTTTACCCCATATATGATCATCATCTCCAAATCTTACCATCTCAATTTGTGCTCAAACATTAGTCGTGGGCATATATTGATTCCATGAGTGTAGGTAAAAGTCATCTCGGATACAAACAACCACAATAAGTTTGGTAAAAATATATTTTTTGTATAAATCATCTGTGTCAAAATTAGTTATATATGTGATACAAATTCTTAATTATTTACACAATGTTGTGCTTTCACAATACCTATTGGAGCTGAGTATCACGGAGTATTTATTTTGTTTACTTCAAGTAAATTAAATTATAAACAGTAGTACTCCATTATTTGTGTACGTTTTGCTTAGAAGATTTAGTTCAACCTCGTAGACTTAGATTTTCATTATCTGATAATATTACTTACAAAAAATAAAGGATGATGTATGTAATTAATAAGAATAATAACCTGTGTATATTGCAATACGTCACTACAAAAAAATTACAGGATTGACATGGATTTGATATTGATTTACAGATGATTTCATGTCAAATACCTTGTGTCAAACTGTTTTTGGCACGAATTTGACATATTTCTGCTAAAATCCCGTCAATTTTTGGAAGGAAATCTAACCATGGATACCGTCGGTGATTGTCTTCTTGGTGAAGAAGCAAGGAGAATGGAACGAGGTGAGTCTATGCATCTTGAGGCTAATGTTATTGAGAATCCGGGTAGGAATGAAACTCGTGGACAGAGTAAGAGCCGAGATCTGCATCAATCTCGAGGTAAGTCTAAGTCACGTTCGAAGATCACATGTCACTACTGTGAAAGAATGGGCCACAGGAAAATGGAGTGTCGATCCCCATGAAAGTTTCTTCTCACGCTACCAAAGTGGTGACTTTGGTTCGGTTCAAATGGGGAACCAAGATAGAAACAAGATCGTTGGTATAGGAGATATCATCCTGACAACAAGCACCAGATGCAAACTTGTCCTAAAAGATGTGAGGCATGTTACGGTCATGCGCCTTAATCTTATATCTGTTGGGAAGCTAGATGATGCTAGTCTGATGAATTACTTTGGTGAAGGAAAGTGGAAGCTCACCATAGGAAGTCTAGTCATGGCTAGAGGAAGGAAGGATCGTTGTATGTGATGCAAGCTAAGCTCTGCAAAGCAGAGGTAAATATAACCACTGATGACATGGAGGTATGGCATAAACAACTTGGCCACATCAGTGAGAAAGGTCTTCACATGCTTTCTCGGAAGCAACTCCTCCCAGACGTGAAAGGTAAGTCACTTGATCCTTGTCCACACTGTTTAGTTGGAAAACAACACAGGGTTGCTTTCCAAAGATCTTCTCCACCCACAAGGACAAAGATCATCCTCGGCCTTGTACACACCGATGTGTGCTCAATGTCCGAGAGATCTATTGCTGGTGCATTGTACTTTGTGACCTTCATTGACAATCATTCAAGGAAGGTATGGTTGCACCTGTTAAAATTAAAGGGCCAAGTACTTGATGCTTTCAAGGAATTCCACGCTCTAGTGGAGCGTGAGACTTGACGTAAGATCAAGTGTCTACGGTCAGACAATGGAGGTGAGTATAGAGGTCCCTTTGAAGCCTATTACAAGAAATATGACATTAGGCTAGAGAAGACTCCACCTAAGACACTAAAGTTGAATGGACTAGCTGAGAGGATGAACATAACTATTGAAGAAAGAGTTCGTTGCATGCTCTCTCAGGCTAAGTTACCCACATGCTTTTGGGGAGAAGCTATAACGGTCATAGTTGACATCGTCAACCTCACACCATCAGTTCATTAGAATGGGGCCATCCTAGAGGAAGTCTAGATGGCAAAAAGGGCGCGCTTCATACAAACATCTCAAGGTGTTCGGGTGCAGAGCTTTTGTTCACATCCTAAAGGATGATGACAACGTTCTCTGTGCAATGAGTTAAAGAATCTAAGGTTTTTATTATGCTTCCACTCTTTTTTCATTTCTACGTTCTTTGGGCATGCTCATCGCCGATATTTGGTTCAAAGCTATCGCATGTTCAATAAAAAGTTTTGCTTAATTTTAGATGAAATGTTTTACAACTCATCAAGGAGTGAGGGGATCTTTTAGTTATTATGAGTCTAGCAGGAGAGATGGTTTGAGTTGTGAGTTTGTTATAAGGTTCACGATTTCTATTATTATATCAATATATATGATTTACTTTAAAAATTATGTGTATGGTTACTAAGTATAAGTCCATAACTTTTAACATTTCTATAGTATATGTTTGACACGATTTCTGAGAGCAATTAGAATTTCGAGATATTTTTTATGCAGCTTAGAACATCAATTATCTCAATAGATTGTTATAGAGAAAATTCCCTAAATAAAAATAACAGATAATAATTTTTCTCAAACCTAGAGAATTTTATTCTTTTATTCTTTAAATAGGAGCAAATAAGTCCCATTGTGAGAAGAAAACACACTTATACTCCTAGCTTAGAAGTTTGCCTAATTTCACTCTATTTTTGGGCAATTTAAACGGAGTAATTATTATATCAAATATAATTAAATCAAAACAATTATCTTTTTTCTCTCTTCACACTCACTGTATGAACATTTTCTGTTTGACTTGCCTTTCATTTGTATTTCTTTTCATTCCCAAAAGGAGTATACTATCACAACTTTCATATTTTGTTGCGCTAACTCTATCAATCGACAAATTGAGAGCAATCTAAGGTTCCAGTCAAAGTAACCACAAGTCTAAAACACGATAGGAATATCCTGATAGCGAGTTGACAAGTCCTGTGGGAGTGGCTATCAAAATACGGGGACTAATCTTTGATGGAGTATATGGGCTCAGACCCCATGACCCACATACTCAGAAGACTAAGATGAAGCACAATTGTCACCTACTGGGTCTTCCGTCAGCCAGATGGCCCTCCATCAGTCAGATGGCCCTCCATCGGCCAAATGGATGTCAACTCAGAATATGGTTCACAAGCCAGGAGAACCAAGGTGCCTCCATCGGCCGGGTCTCCGTCAGCCATAGAGGCCTCAAATAGCTAGATTCCATACTTAGCCAATTTACATACTTTGCACTCAACCCGGTAGTGGCCTCATTGTAAATGGGCCTCCCAAGCTAAAAGCTTTGGAGCCCAACCCATATTTTCCCTATAAATACTCCTATTGGGGGTAGTTGTAAGGGGTTGACAAATACATTTTTTGCATACTTATTGCACTTCTCTCTCTAGCTCTCACTTCTCTCTAAGGGTTAATACTCTATCATTTGGTGCTTTCATTCAGAGCTAGAACAATCAAGTTAGCATCCTTCGTCGCTACCAAGCATAGCTAACTGACTAGGGGAAGAACAAGTTCAAACCATAACCCCATCGGCAAGGCGATCCCTGAGACCCAGGAGAACATGGAACACGAAGAGGACGCCACGGCCGAAAAGGACAGGGATGAGGAAATCTTCCAGGAGACCATCAACCCAACGGCTGACCTCCGCAATCAGCTCAATGGCAACGCTCAAGATGCCTGCGTCGGCTTTGAGAAGAAACACATGGAGAAGGAAGACCATGCATCGTGGCAACAGACTACTCCCACTGTTGAGCCTCAGCTCCAGGCTACTGTATCGGTCATCATAGCCAGCTTGGCTCAGAACCCCACCGTCCTCAGCGCACTCGTGCCAAGAACGGTGGAGAACACTACACCACCACCTCCACCGCCCCAACCGTTGGTCATGAAGATAGGCAACGACGAGGGGGTGGAGGCCCATGACACATCGTCATCCCACTCCCACCCTGCTTCCCCTCTTCGAGCTGGACCGACCCCAACGCGTGGAAAAGCCTCGGCCTTCAATAAGCTAGGTGACACGCGCCTTCGGGTGGCATCGGAGAGGATGGCGGGATGGATTGGTGAATGTGAGCCTGGATCACCAAGCGAAAGCTTGGGGTCCGTATCCCGGATAGCGGATAGGCCCCGCCTCGAGAAAGGCAAAGGAAAATTGCATGAGGGTGATGCGCGCCACCAGATCAACACGACCCATGCGGCCCG